GCCGGCATGACTAGATGCCAAGGTGCACGGAACACTGTTACCTTCCCACCGAAGTGGTACCTATTTATCTACTTGCAATGTCTTGCTTTCGAACTGCTAGGTTGGCAAGAGCTGGGACCAGAGACGGGAGCTCGCTCCATCATGCGGCACTCGAGTCTTGAACTGCTGAACTACTGACCTTCCGCTCTGCAGTAGTAATTTATAAATCCACCGTAACAAATATTCTTTTTTTTGTGTGTGTGATTGATTGTTGTGTGATCAACTGAGAACCAGTTTGGTTAAGTGGTTAAGTACACAGACTCTAACCTGGGAGAACTGAGTTTGATTCCCCATTCCTCCACTTGCAGCTGCTGGATGACCTTGGACAAGCTATAGTTCTGTCAGAGCTCTCTCAGCCCCACCTACCTCACAGGGTGTCTGTTGTGGGGAGGGGAAGGGAAAGGAGTTTGTAAGCTGCTCTGAGACTCCAAGTGAAGGGCAGGGTATAAATCCAATCTCTTCTTTTTCACGTCAAACTCTGTCATCTCTCTTAAAGCTCCATCTTTGGTGCTTATAACCTTCTTTAATCTTGAACTTAATTGGTTTTAGTATTAATTGGTTAATTATTTATTATTCTTTATCTTGGCTGTTTAATCCAATCAGCCATCCAAACCAAGCCAGCTGCTTGGTAATATAATTTTACATTTGGAACCACTAGTCCTCCTCTCTTTTTCTCATCTTGTAATACTTTAAAACTTACTCTTGGTTTCTTGCCATTCCATATAAATTTATTTATCTGTCTCTGCCATTCTTTCAATGTAACATTTGAAAAAAAAAGTTTACTTTTGGCAATACATTCATCTTGATTACAGAAATTCTGCCCAGCCAGGAGATTTTAAATTTTTCCCATCTGGATAAATCTTCTATCAACATCTAGATCTTCTGATAATTATTTTTAAAGAGGATGCAATTTTGCCCAGTCACATTTATTCCCAAGTATTTAATGGGATTGGTGGCAACTGTACATTCTGTGTTCCTTATAATGTCCTCTTCCTGTTGTTGCATTAGTAACTTTAATATTATTTTGGTCTTCTTTCTATTAATTTTGCAGCCAGAGAACGATCCAAGTTCTTCATTATTTTCCATTTCATACTGCAGCAATTTTGGGGACTCAGCACAGTCAAAACCACATAATTTGCATAGCTTTTCATTTAAAACTCTGCACTTTTCACTTTTATTCCCTGAATCCTGGCATCTTGTCTGATCTCTATAGCCAATATCTCCATTGCTAATATAAATAATAATGGTACCAAAGGACATCTCTGCTGTGTGCCTTTTTCAGTTGTAATTGCTTCTGTTAGTTTCCCATTTATTAAAATCTTTGCTTGTGGATTTATACTCTACATCCAGTTCTAAAGCTTGGAGCCACAGTCCATATTCTGAAGTACGTTCGGTAGGAAATGCCATGTTAAATTGTTGAACGCTTTCTCTGCATCGAAAACCAAAAAAGCTGCTTTCTTTCTCTTCTTATTCACAAATTCAATATTATCTTTCATATACCTCTTTGGGACAAAGCCCATTTGATCCTTTTTCTATTAAATTTGGTATACATTTTCTTAATCTCTCCACCATTTTTGTAGCAAAGATGTTATAATCTATGTTCAACAGGGAAATAGGTCTGTATGACTGTGGTAGCAAGCAGTGGCCAGGAGAAAGTGTGTGTGTGGGGATCTCTTGGGAGAAAGCGGATCTTGCTGCCGGTGGGGAGAACCTTCTCCACACAGGCCCAGCTGTTTCAGACTTGCTGGCATAGTTAATTTAAAGGGGCTATGCTGGGGAGCCAGAGGCAGCTGCTGGCTCCCCGGCATAGCCCCTTTAAACAGGCTGCACGAGCGAGCTCAAGACAGCTGGACTGGTGTGGAGAAGACACCGGAGAAAAATGGAAGGAAGTCCCTTCCAGGGTAATTCCCCTCCTCCTTTCTCCTGGCCAGGGCAAGCTGCGGCTGGGAGAAAGGTGGAAGTGAGTCCCTTCCAGAGTGATCCCTACCCCCTTTCTCCTGGCCAGGGTGAGCCACAGCCGGGAGAAAGGTGGAAGGGAGTCCCTTCCAGGGTGATCCCCACCCCATTTCTCCTGACCGTGGCGAGCCATGCCAGGGGAAAGGGGGAAGGGAGGTCCTTTCCAGGGTGATCGCTGCCCCCTTTCTCCCAGCTGCAGCGAGCCGGGGCTGGGAGAAATGGGGAACCAAACTTCCCGGACTGGTTTGATGGGATCTGTTTGGCTCAGTTTGGGGTTTGGTTTGGGGGTTACCCTGAAACGAACTGCATTTTTTAGATTTGTGCCCATCCCTATACCATGTATATCTCCAAAAATAATTATTTCCTGAGTCATCCAAAATCTTGTGATATTACAAGCAGCATTACAACCAGGCCTTTTAAAACCAGTCAGGTTGGCTGAAGAGAGGGAGAGGAGATAGACACAACTTTGCCGCCATGCTTGGGCAAGCTGAAACGCTCTGTAACATTTTGTTGCAGGTCTCTAGTTACACAGCAGAACCACCTCAAATCCAAATTGACACTATCTCCAATCGTAAAGAAATCTTATTTACTCTCAGATCTTTTAATTCAGATGTAAACCCCCATGATTTCAATGGGATTTACTTTCAAGCAGAAGTTTTTAGAATGACAACCCATGTTTATTTCCTCTTTCAGTGTATCCAAATGTCACTCTCGGCCAATATGAACAGCCTGAGCCAGTTTAGTACTTGCTGGCATATCCTATAGCGACCATGTGTAGGGGCCAGCAACTTCTGTGGATTGGTGCTATTATTTCAAATTGAATACTTTACCTATCACTCCAATAAAATATGGGGTCGTGAAGAGTCAGACTTGACTGTGTGACTGAACAACTTCTCCATTCAGATTTTACAACTTCTCCATTCAGATTTTATTTCTGATCATGTGTACAATGAACTCTTCTTATATTAGGGATGTAGGGGCAAAATGAGATATATGGCATATAAGATGTAGCCTAATATATCTAAGGGAGGTGTGGCAAAACGGGGACTCACCCACAGCTCTGGGAGACTGAGCAGCCGTTCGGTGGCTCACAAGCCCCTGTTTTTGCCTGCCCACCCTGTCTGGTGGGACTAATTCCTTTCATCAGTTGCTGCCCCCACTCACTGAATTTACACCGCCTTCCTAGAGGGACAGTGAGACCCCTCTGGCTGATTCCCCAACCTTGGGAAGTGGATACCTTAATCTTTGGGTGCCCCCTGGAGAGTTGGCAACCCCTCCAATTTGGGCCTGTTTGGCTTCCCTGGTCTTCCTTTGCCATGTGTAATGTGCTAAGCAGGGAGGACTATGTGGTCAAAGCACTACCAGGTTTTATAGTTCAAAAAGAAGGTTGAATTAAACTATGTACAAGGTTAGGCACAGACATAACTAGGGTTGCCAAGTCCCTTTAAACTCACCGGTGGGGGAGGCTCTGCCGGCTCCGTGAGCCGGCTCCAGATGTGCGCGCGTGCAAAGCACGCACACGCCGCCAGCACGTCAACGGAAGTGACATGCAACATCACTCACGTTGGGGGCGTGGCCCAGATCATCGGGGGGGGGGGACCATATGTTCCCCCCGGGGCCTGATTCGGCCACGGCGGAAATCAGGCCTCCAAAGCGGGGGTTTCCCCGCCCCCCGCCCCCACTTGGCAGCCCTAGACATAACACAAGCACTTCAACACAACCGGTCAGAAAATAAACAGGATCAAACTGCAATTCCTCTGTCCCTACAGACACCCTGATCCATTATCTAACTACCTCCATAGTGGGTGGCTGCAGGACAGGATTCACTCTCCTCCTCTTTGTCATTGGAGTGAGACTTCAGTCCCTCCCTCAGGACTGGTCACCAATACTGCTACCCTCCTGGCTCTCCACCACAATTTACAGTGGCCGGGATGGCCCACAGAGTGTCAGGTAGCAGGAGTCCCACCTAGGCGCAGCCCCTCGAAGCTATCGTCCAAGGCTGAGATGAAGGCTGAGACTAACTCCTCCCTGGATGGGCAGAAGCCTTTATCTCGGTGGCTCCGACCCTGGGGTGAGTCCCTACTTTCCCGCACTTTTTCTCCAAAGCTGCTGGGAAATGTAGGCAGGGAGCTATGGCAGCCGCATTGTCCCCTATGGAGCACTTCCCCCCCTCCAGAAGGACTACCAGATTGGCAGCCATTTTAAGGTAAACTGCTGCCTCTGTCTGGCAGCCATTTCGTTACAGAAGGTAATAATTTTACCTATAATGAGGACCTATCCATATTTAACGTGTGTGTGTGCTGTTACCAGATTTACTAGCTTAACTGTGTACCTCAAGTTTCAAAGGCTTCCTATATTCCTTTCTGCTTATCAATACATTAAAACTAGTGCATATTTATAAAAAGCATGACAGCTTTTTTTAAAAAAAAAAGTCAGTCTTTTTTTTCTATATAGAAAAATGAAATTTAGTAGCAACATATTATGATTGCAAATGGATCCTTCTCAGGGAATTGCACACTTTAAATGTAAAAATGATTATAAGGCAAAGAGCCTATGAATAATGCAGAAGGATCTCCCGGAACAAGAAACCAGATTCTGTTTCTCCTGTTTGCCCTTAAAACATATCTAGATTTTGTAATGCAGCAAAACTCCCCTCCACCACCACCACAATTTTTTTGAATGCAAGAAAATACTTAGGTGAGAGTTAGGTAAAGGTAAAGGTTCCCTTGCTCGAAAGCCAGTCGAATCTGACTCTAGGGGTGCGGTGCTCATCTCCGATTCAAAGCCAAAGAGCCAGCGCTGTCCGAAGACGTTTCCGTGGTCATGTGGCCGGCATGACTAAACACCAAGGCGCTCGGAACGCTGTTACCTTCCCACCGAAGTGGTCCCTATTTATCTACTTGCAATGTCTTGCTTTCGAACTGCTAGGTTGGCAGGAGCTGGATTTTGCTGAGTTTTTAAAAATCTAATATCTGAATGTTCTATCACTTTTTTTTTTAAACAAGGAAGAGGAAGAAGCACAGGAAGAAGAGGAGGAAGAGGCAGAAGAGGAGGAGGAAGAGGAGGATGAGGAGGATGAAGAAGAATCTTAGTATATTTTTATAACTTTTCCCCTTCATTGTCCAGGTAATTTTCTTGACCATTAGATGCTTCAGCCTGAAAATCCTTATTGTCCCACTAAATTCCACTGGCAGCTCCTCTAGTCTAAGCCCCCTGTTTTAATGGGTGGGCAGCACAATCCTGAGGGCTGCCGTGTCCGAGACGGCCAGTGCAACCGCAGCACCACTGGTCCATTCCTAAGGGGAAACCACACAGGCCAGGGAAATGGCCTTGCACCAGGGTCATACAGGCAGCAACCATGATGACGTCCCTAGCAGTCGCACTCACAAGACATCGCAGGAGTATAATGGTGCAGTTGTGATGGATCGGGGGGGGGGCACCAACTACAGGAAAGGGAGTTTTTGGATCCAACCCAACATGTGTAAAATATGAATAATAGATCCACCCCCCCCCCCCCCCCCCAGCATGGCCATTCACAGTCCCATTCATTATATTAACGGGAGTAAAATAAGACACGAACCAATCCTTATAGGCACTTTTATTCACATAACTTTCAGTGGGAGTGAGTAAAGTACATGTTTATCAAGCTTATTGACGTCAATGAGATTTAAATATGTTTACCTTTGGGAAGACTGGATACAGGACTTTTAAGCAACAGTAGACATTGGAGAACTACAGAAATCAGCTCGGCACCCTGGATAGGCTAGACATTCTTTTAAAAAACATCATTCCTCTGATGGAAAAATTCAACCTCCGCTCGCACTGGAGAAGCCCTTGGTTCCATTCCTTTCCTTTCCTAATTCAGAGAAAGCCAGATGCCTCAGTAGAGGTCCTTTCAACTCGATAAACTTTCCCTAACTACTTCTAAAGGATCCCATGGAAGTTTTTCATGAGCAGAAGAGGGGATGATTTTCACTGAGATGACCTCCAGTTCTTCCCTCATGCTGTTTTTGGAGTGACCCAGGAGCAGCATTTTAGGAGGCATCTTCAGCTTCATGGGAAGGGGGGAGCAAGAAAGTCACAATTGATAGACAGAAATCCCTTCTGTCCATGGAAATTTCGGGTGGATCCTAGCCAATGGGTATACAGAACGGAAGAATTGACTGTTTTATATTTAGTTTTTAATTTTCTGCAAAACATAAGCCCTAGTAAAAACAGTAAGCCTAAGTCTTGTGAATATCTACATATGTGTACGATCTGTCTGGGTCTTCATAATTTGAGCAACAGTGGTATGTTCTCCACATTGTTCTCATTTGAAACCGTATAGGATTGCCACCCAAAATGACAGCCTCTTGTTCATTGCATTAAATTTGAAATCTGTGGTTCCACTGAAGCACTGGTATCATCACTGCTGTTTTATGTTGTGGCTGAGTTGGTGTCAAATCTCTCAAAGAAAACCTCCTTCCCAATCTCTAGAATGTTTACTAAACCCCAGAAACTAAAATTTTCACAATTAGGCCATATAGACGATGTTTTTGGTGGGTTGCTTGTTTCCTTTATTATGTTCTCATTGGATGAAAGAGTCATTTGGCAGACTAATGCCGCCCGATGTTCTCCTTTAGTGGGAGAAATCATCCAAACTGGTTAGGTCACACCTCCTCTTGCTCCAGGCAGGGCTATGCAAATTTGTGTAGACTGTATTGGCTCAGAGTGAGGCTCACTCTCCAGTTTCAATAGCCCTGCCGCTCCAGCAGGATGCTTGAGCCTAGCTCCGCCTTCTTGGAGACTCTTACCTTATTAGTATGGAAGACAGAAAAGCCTTGAAGAAAGGCCCCATTGCCGGGATTTAAAAAGAGTCCATTAAGATAAGCCTCTCCTGCCTGAGGCTCCAGGTGTCAGAGAGTGGCCAACAGCAGATACATCTACAGTATCGCAAGCCACCAGCAGTGCTGACAGATCCAAAGCTATGGGCCATTCCACAGCCAACCTCTGACTGCACAGGAAAAGTACAGCAGAGATCTATCAGGTCCGAGCCTAGACCCGCTTTCTTGGAGTCTCTTACCTTGCTGGTATGGAAGACGGAAAGGTCTCGAGGAAAGGCCCCATTGCCAGTCTTAGAAAGAAGGGGGGGGACAATTGAAACAGGCCTCTCCCGCCTGAGCCTTTATTGGAGACTGGCCAATGGCGGATGCCTCTGCAGTGGCATGGGTCGTCGTTGGTGCTGGCAGATCTGAGGCTTCAGGTTGTTCCACAGCCATCTTCTGAGTGTGCTTGAAAATCCTGGCAGAGCTCTACTGGGTATGAACAGCCATGAGGAGAATTGCAGCAGGTAGCCTACCCCGTACAGACTCAGAGGCTTCCAGGCCTAGAGGGAGAGGACTGGAACTGAAGGTGGGACCCTCCTCCCCCGCTACATAGGGGCAGTGGGATAAGGACCTCCAACATGAGCAAGAGGCCGATCCAAGCAGGGATGGCAGCATGGCAGAGCAGTCTCCCCACCCCCCAGCCTCTCTGAGGCCTTGCCCAGTGGGTTTGGCAGTTCAGGACAATTCCAATAGGGCAGCTGTTCAGGTTTTCCCCACATTTTTTCTGCCCTCCGTCTGCAGTTTGGAGGACACAGGCCTTTAGTCTGGCCTAGGCCTCCCCAAATCTGGTGTGTATGCAGCCTGGAATCATGTTGGGCTTTCCGTGGCTAGGAGTACCTGGCCAAACAGTGGCTGTGACTGATATCTCCCATAAGGATGTTAGCACTGGGAACATCAGGAGCTTTCAATAGTAGGTCAAAATAGATGTTCCCTTTCTCCCTCACCACCCGTGTCACGTTCGGGGGTGGAGGAGCTCCTTTCAACCAAAAGATCTAGAGCAACAAGCTCTGGTAAAGAGGAAAGGTAATGGTCAGAAAATTCTCTTAGGCCTTTCCTAGGGAAATTCTTCTAGGCCTTTCTTGCACAGAATTATTGATGGTGTTAGTATCTCCACCATGGAGATTGCCAAGCAGATGGGTTCTCCTGCTACAAGAATCAATTCGCCACCCAGACCCTATTTGACGCCAGCTGACAGCTTAGAGATTGAATGGGAGGATTTAGAAGGATCAGGCCTTCCAGGTCAAGTAGTTGACATCATGGTGCAGTCCAGAAAACCTGCTTCCAGTTGTCTCTATAATCATATGTGGCTGACGTTCAAAAATGGGCCAGTAGTAAAAAGCTAGATCCACTGAACCTACTTACTAAGACACCATTCCCTTTCTATATGAAGGTTGGAATCAGGTTCTAAGAACAGATGTCTTTGTGGAGAAATGCATAACCAGATTTTTTCCCCCTCTAGTCAGAGGAGGAAGTCCGTTTGCTGGCATATCAGCTCACCTTCTTACAAATGCTAACGACTCTAGCAGGAAAGACAGTGGGACAGGGTTAAGCCTCCCCCTTCCCCAGGGAGAAAACAGAGTTTGGAGGGCTTTAGGCTGGACCAGCCCCAGATACAATCTCCAGGAATGGGCTGGAGGAAACTCTTCTTTGACCTGATGTGACCTGGTCAAGGGGGTGGAGACAGAGAGTTAATAACTTTATTTTACCATCTGGTAGGGTATGTATAGAGGAATGGACAGAGGATTTGCATTTCTTACAAATTTCTTTTGTTTTCCCTTGCTCAATCTGGTGTTGTGCTGAAAGTATGCTTGTAACCATTTTCTTTTTAATAAATATTTTAAATTGTTGATGTGGAGAGCAATTCTTTGTACCACATAGACCCCCAGCCATTTCAGACATGCTATTTTAAAAGGGGAGCCCCAGGAGGGGGGGGGGAGGCAAGCAGTTGGAACACCTGGAGCACTTTATATTGTATTATTGTAGAATGTTTTTAAATGGTTTTAAATATGTTTTATGTGTTGGCTTATGCCTGACTGTAAGCTGCCCTGAGCCCGCTCGCGGGGAGGGTGGGCTATAAATTGAATTTATAAATAAAATAAATAAATAAAGCAGTTGGCAACTGGCTATTCCCCCAGGGGCACACAAAGCATTAAACTATCTCTGTGGTAGCCAGGCGCTGGGCAAGCAGGAGACACTCAGGGAAGGTCTCTGAACTTGGGAGGGGAGTTGAGGGTCCTGATCCCCTCAGTGGGAAATTCCTATACTGATCAGGTGGTGGTAGTGGCTACTGAAGAGTAAAAGGAAAAGCCCCTCCATGGAGTTGGGAACCCCCTAGGAGGGCAGGGCAGAATGGGGTTTGCAGGTCAGAGTGGGCACGTTCTGCCACATCTTAAAAGACAAGTTGTCTCCTCTGGTATGTCCCCAGGAGGGCATTATGCTCTTTGGATAGCAATCGGCTGGTGGCCCCTGGCCCCAAAGATGTCTGGCTGTCCTGGGCCAAGGCTTTTTCATTCCTAGTCCTGACCTGGTGGAACTCTCTGCCAAATACTATACTGACCTGCCCTTGAAGTTGACCTGGAAGCGTCAGCTGATCCAGAATGTGACATGGGTCCTGATGGGAATGTCACGGATGGCACACATACAACCTGTGCTGCGCCAGCTGCACTGGCTTCCAGTAGAATTCCGAGTCAAGTTCAAGGATCTGGTTGTTAACCTTTAAGGCCTTGAGTGGTCAGGGACCAACATATCTGCAGGACTGTCTCCTCTGGTATGTCCCCAGGAGGGCATTATGCTCTTTGGATAGCAATCGGCTGGTGGCCCCTGGCCCCAAAGATGTCTGGCTGTCCTGGGCCAAGGCTTTTTCATTCCTAGTCCTGACCTGGTGGAACTCTCTGCCAAATACCACCAGGGCCCAGCGGGATCTCAGGCAATTCTGTAGGGCCTGCAAAGGCAGAGGTGTTCTGCCAGGTGTTCAGTTGAGGGCAGCAATGGTTTTCACTCTAGTTAGCGCACTCTTTTGCTCTCCAGATCAGTTGCGCCTCTTCCTCCCCTGCCCATGAGGTAGCTCAGCAGTTTGGAATGGGAAGTGATTTTAGTTCCCCATCTGGAGTTTAATTTTATTTGTTGGTGCTGCTGTATTTTAACTGTAGAGTTTTTATGTTTTTATCCATTGTTGTA